CCGACAATATGGGTGGATAAAAAACCGTGTTTGTTTGGGGGGGGGGCGGGGGGGGGAAGTGCTTTTTACTTCCAACTGACAACTGTTGCATGGCAAGATGTACACCAAAAGTACCTGTGATCAAGCGCAGAAAGGGGGAAGGATTCATCAAAGGAGTTTCAAGATAAAAAGAACTATTTAAAAAGCTTAGCTCACACTTTTAGTCAAAAGGGAGTTAAGAACATAAATCGAAAAAATATAAGTCATTTTGTGACTACTTTGCAGTTCATAATACATATTTAATATCTATTACATACCTTCCCTAGGAAAATCTCAAAACCAAGTATTTCTGCATTTGATTATCAGTCTAAAAAGACATAAAAGTTTCCAATGAGAGAGAAAAAAAAAAGCAACAAACATTTATGTGTGTAGAGTGTTTCTGAAGTAACACACTCTCCAAATATTTACAAATCCAAAAGCCACTTTTACACTAAGAATTCCCTTAGACTATTCTCTTGGTTTTAAATGAAGTCATTTAACTGACTTTCACAAAGTTTCACTATGAAATACCATGACGCTTGAAAGTATCTCAAATGCAAAAATATAACAAATGAAGCAGAAACCACTGAAATACAATATAATGCACAAAATGGCAAATCCTGTATTCGTATCTATCACTGAATCAGCCCACTTCATCCAGGAGCTAACAGCCAAATGCTTCAGGGTAAGGAAAAACATAAGCCATATGCAACCCTTCAGTGACCTAAACTATGCATAAAACAGGCACATCTACATTTTTAGCTACTCTATGTATTACACACAGACATAAAAATGCTGTAACATTTATTTAAATCATAAAACACTGGTTAACACTCAGACTTCTACTACTTTCTCACCATGTGAAGCCTAGGCATACAGACACTACAAGTCAGAAATGAGGAAAAGAAAGGACAAAATGCAAGTGAAAACGTCCGGTATGTATTTTTGTTAAAAATCCTACTCAACTTCTTATAATGACTGTAAGCAGTTACTGTTTGATGATATATATATTCAGGCACATATATGTTGGACTATACCAATAATTTAATCACCATCTCTTTGCTAAGTATAAATATAAGCATATTCAAGCACACACATACAAAAAAACCCAAACCCAGATGAGAAAATAAGTTGAAATTATACACAAGCGAACAGTCAAAACTTAAGTTTCAAAACATTATAATTGCTCCACAGTGTTTTTACAAAAAGACACAACTGCTTGAACAGGTTCAGTGACAAGTATGGGAAGAGACTGTCTTTTACACAAACTCTCCGCTTTAGATGGGGTTTAAACAAAGTGTAGGGGTGAGACAGCAGCTTTGCAAGAAAGATACGAACAGGTCAAGTGATGTTCCAGAAAAAGTCAGTAGGTTAAAAGAAAAAAGCGTCCCATTGGGAAACAAATTGTACACTGTCAGTAATAGATATCAAGCACAAATTAAGAAAGCATTAACTTTTTATATTTATACTATAGCTAGGGACAATGAATGTAGAAACTAATATTCACTGAACTCTCCACCCAAAACACTGCTTATGAAATCGTGAATTCTTAGACAGGGTGACGCACAAAAGTAGTAAAATAAAGTAAAATCAAAGCATCCCAAGTACAGGACATATTTTACATGTACTATGAATACTGGATGTCTGCTTTATAAACATCATGGCTGGAAATAAATCTGTACTGTGAACACAAAGCAAGGATTCAACTCACCACAATAAACAAATACTACAATTTACAGAAAATTACATTCCTGACAGAAAATATAATAATTAATACATCAATTCATTTAAGTGTTGTTTGATGATAAACTTCCCCAAAATTACCCTCCCTTGGCTAAGATAATGTTTGGGAGCTAGCACAAAAATGTGTTTAGAAACCTATCATTTAAACAAAAAGCTATACATAGAAGTCCTAACTGTAAAGAAAAAATGCTGAATTAAGTACCATTACATACGTGTGTAATTCTAATGTTTCTTCCTGCAGTTGATACCGTAAAGGCAGATTGCAGCACTGGAGTGGAGCCCTTCCCACTACCCAGGAACTTTGATCACGGCCTTGTGTGACCCCCCAGAGCTGATACAGCCGGGTCTGAGCCTTCCCCTTACAGACAGGGAGCAGCACTTGGCCTGATGACTGCTCCTCCTTCTAGGCACTTGAGTGACTTGCCCAGTCTGCCCTTCTTTTATGACCCTACAGAAGCAATCAAGAGGAGGTCAGTCTAAGGAAAAGGGACAATTCAGTGCATGATGCATCAAGGAACTCGGACTGAAGGGTAAATCCAGGTCATGAAATCCCAAATAAGAAGAGGTATATTCTAATTCTGGCAGCAGTCAAATAAAAGAACAGCAAGGAAGCTCACCAATAAAAGCAGAGATTTGTGTGTCAGTACCCCTACTTTAAAAAGGTTGTACCTCTAGTTCTTGTCCAGAAATTAGTCTCTTGCACAAGCAAGCTACAGTAAAGTAGAAAACCAAGGTTAACTGCATCAATACAAAATATGGCATATTACAGAAGCATATCATGTAATATATCCATATATTTCTTCATTTAATGTGCCTGAAATCTAAAATTAATATTTCATTGTAGGGAAATATATGTAAAAGTATAAGTCGTAGGCCCAAGGAAAGTGCTTAAAAGTTCACTGACTTCTCCATTAAGACAGGAAGGAAGTTACAAGAATGATTTAGCCCACTGACTCACAAGGTTAGTGATTTATCAGAATATTAATGATAGCAGACATTTTTAGTAGACACTAAATCACAAAATTGCATTTTAAACAAAGCTTTTAGCACTTGACTGTAGAGAAAAACTCAACTTAGGCCAAAAATAGATCAAAATTCATAAGGAAAGCGAAAGATGAGCCTTACAGTTTTGAAATGCCTTTTTTTTTTTAAATGACTCATAATGAAAAGCTTTGTTTAGCAATATTGCAAGGAGGGTGCTCCCACTTGTAAAAAAAGGCTTTTTTTTTTTTTAACAGAGAAAGGACAGGTGGTTAAAAATCACTTTTGCCTACTTTCCATCCTGTTAGCTATGTATCAGTACAAAAAAGAATTAATAGTAATGAATAGTTTATGGGAATACAGGCAAACATCCCAAGCAGCTTAGAACGACACAAAACTACATCTTGGGACCATTCTGACACAGGTATTATTTCCAATATAAAAGTATACAACGCAGTTTGTGTTTTACAAATGGTCTGTCCAAATCATCACATTATCCAGATGTAAAAAATTATTTTTTTTTAAGGCTATAATGCTAGATAAAACTAACTGCCTAGTTACACAAATAAATTATTAGTTATTGCTTAAAGCATGTAAAATCTCCTGTAGTAACTGCCAACGTACAAACTCCCAGCCTCCTGTAAAGGAAAGTAGAATAAGTGTTCTCACATTCAGCTTCTGCAGGATAACATGATACACAGGTAATAACTAAGGCATTTTAGCTTGTTCCCTGGCAACATTTTGTGCAGTCTTCCTCTGGTTAGAATGCAGATCTGTTACCTTCCCAATTATTGTCTAAAAACTAGCGTGGCTGTAATTACTGAGCTGTTTCCCTTATGTAAAAATATATGTTTATATTAGATGATTTACAGCCTGACTGCATGCACCTCTGGAGTGGGTGAGGAAACAACGCCATCATAAGCAGCTCTGCTCTGTAATCACTAATTCCTTATGACAATCACTGGAACCTACAAACATATTCTGAAGTTCAGCTGGACACTCTTGAAGTTTAGGGTTTTTTTTTGCTGTAGAAGGGAAGGCAGTTGGGAAGGGCTGGCTGTACGGCACTGCACGGAGGGAGGAGCGGCGCTCAGCCTCCGCTGCTGAACAAGACAGCATTAAAGACCATCCACAATTACCTGGGCTGTTCCCTAGCAGAACAGGTGGTTAATGCCTATAAAAACCAGTTTTTCAGGTCTGAACTCAAATTGTGTGGTAACCACGCAACAGACCACCTAAGAGTTTGCAACTGACCAGAGGGTCACACAGCCACAGAAGGAACAGCAAGAGAATGGAAATCCGCTTGGATCCTTCTCATGAAGCGAAAAAAAGCCTGTGCTGGGGGTGTCAAGTACAGGAATGGGGACATGGACAGAATCGACCAAATCCCAAAGAACTCTCCAAAGAAGGGAGATTCAGGGAACA